TTGAGCATCTTTTCAATGTGATAAAATACCTTCCCAAATTGTTGCAAGAATCGATGAGCCGTTACAACTGAAGTAGTGGATGCTAGCAGTGTCAAATCATGAAAGAACTTCAGATATTTAATCATTACTCTAGCATTCTTCCAATCTTCATGCTGAGGAATACCAATCTCTTGATTCTTGTACTTCTTCGACTTCAACTCAGGTTTGTACTCTCTATCTTTTCTCTCAAGACTAGAGAATGCATCTTCAAATATAACAGCTGCTTCAAGCATGAAATAGGTGGAATTCCATCTTGTGGGCACATCTAAACACAACAATTTTTTGGATTGAATGTTGTGAAAGTCCACACAATCCTTGAACTTAGCCAATCTAGAAGGTGAGGATCTAACTCACCTCACAGCTTCTCTCACCCTTCTAATTGACATCCCCATCTCATTCAAGCCATCACTCACAATCAAGTTCACTATATGTGCAATGCAACGCATATGAAGTTACTTTCCACCTACAATGTTAGTACCCCATTCTTCAAGTCTATCCCTCAATTGCAAGCTGTGTCATTAGAACTTGCATTGTCAACAATGACAGTATAAACACTCTTCACACCCCCATTCTTCTAAGCAATAGGCAATTGCATTACCTATGTCAATTCCCTTGTGACTAGTTAACTTGAAAAAACTAATCACCTTCTTGTATAGCTTCCAATCTTTCCCAACAAAGTGTGTTGTAATGCACATGTAGTTCAAGTTCTGACAAAATGTCCAACTATCAGTAGTTATGGACACCTTACCTCCACACTTTGTTTTGAAATAATCCTTCAACTGATCCTTTTGTGCAAGAAACAATCTAAAAGCATCTTCTCTAATTGTTTTTCGGCAAGGAATCTTGAACATAGGACAAGCACGTTGCATAAACTTTTTAAACCCTTCTTTCTCAACGTGCTTAAATGGCAATTCATCCAAGATTATCATTTCAACCAACCCCTCCCTCACATAGGCTTGGTCAAATTTCCAAGCACCTAATTTCCCTTGCCCTTCAATTGATGATTTCATATGCAAATTCATTTGACCACCCCTTTCTTGCAATTTCTTTTAACATCTTTTAGTATGAGCATCCAAAGTAGACGTACCATTTGCCGATGGATCACCAGCCAATGACTTCCCACAATAATGACATTTCGCCTTCTTTTTTCCCTCTTCATTCACATACTTGTCATAATGATCCCACACCGGAGACCGTAGTTCATACTCCCTCTTAGCTGGGGCTTTAGCCTTTCCCTTTCCTTTTTCCTTCTCAGTTGTAGTGGTTTCAGGTTGTGTTTGGGTTGTTGTTTGAGTTGTGGTAGCTGCTGCCCGTTCTTGTGCATGTAGCTGTGCTATTGGCAAGTTGACGGGAGGAGGATCATTGCTACTAATTTCCCCATGAGGCACTTTAGGGAGAACACATGGCACATTTTCATCTTGATTTAGAGAGCTCTTCTTGTTATTGCTACTACCCTGAAAATTTACCACAAGACACAAACTTTATAAACAAAACGATGTTGAAAAAAATTAACGAAATTCTATAATTTCTAATTTATGAACAAAGATAGAAACTTCATACAATCTCATCTCCCTTTCATATATATATAATAAGTATAACCCACCCATCTTACAACCCATCTCAATCTGTAATTCTGTATTATCTCCCTTTCAAATCATACAATCACACATCTCATTCTCAATCACAAAATAAGAATTTACAATGTTCAATCCCAGTTCTCAAACTTACCCAGGCGCTGCTGCTTCCTTGCATCTCTCGATTCTCTCTTGTCGACCTAGTTTTCTACTACTCGGAGGAAGTGAGAACAGCTGCTGGTGGCTGGGGCGGCTGCATGTCTGCATTAAATGATCAATCAACTTAGGGGATGGCTGGATTGACGGGAAATCCATGAGAAATGGAGAGGCGAGGGTCAGAGACTTACCGCCGTTCTACCAAGGTCGTCGCCGCTCGCCGGAATCTGGAGGTGTCGTCGGCTCGTCGATTGCGTCTGGTGACGGAGGAGATCAACGCTCGACGGGAGAAATGTGGTAGATGATGGCACTCGAAGGGAGATGTACAGGAGACGGAATAGATCGACACTCGAGCCTCGAAGGGAGATGTACAGGAGAAGCCGAGACGGGGGGAGACTGCTCTCGAACGCTCGTCACTCGTCGCCCGCTGTTCGACTCGTCACTCGTCGTCGCCGCCGCCGATGTATAGAGCGAGAGGGGTGAGCAAACCAGGCGTCACCGCGGCAGGCACTCAGGCAGCACCTCTCGTCCTCAGCTGCGCAGATGGAGATTGAAGGGGAGGAAGAGGAACAGCCGATTGCCCTATTCGCAATAGGCAATTAGTTATAATTTAGTGGGTCGTTACTTAGTGGATTGAAGGGTTTCGTTACTTAGTGGATTGGGTCATTGGGCTGCCTGCTGGGTTAGTGACTTAGTGGGTTGGGAATTTTTTTCTTGGGCCCTAGTCAATTAGTTATAATTTAGTGGACCGTTAGTTATAATTTAGTGTTGGGCCTGGTCAGTTAACCCATCCAGTTTTAAACAGTTTTCCGATTTTAAACCGGGCCGGGCCGGTTTTTCCCAGACAGTGACCGGTAATTGGATTGGGTTGTTGCAAATTCGGTTTCTGGTTTGACCGGTAAACCGGATCCGGATTCCCAGCCCTAGAGAAAACCATGCACATCCATTACTCACAATATTCTGATTCGATTTTACCCATATCCACTAAAAATCTTTCAAGTTTGAGTTTTACCTTACCCTATTAGGTCAGATTCGAACGGGTATCCACAGTTGTAGATATTTTTGTTATCCCTAATAGACATAATGATATAATATTATCAATAGTTCAGAACTCTCAAATTGGGCAACACTTTAGATGATATGTGTGCTAAGCCGAATCCTCGTCCCAAAAAATTACAACTATGAATTATGCAAAAATTGCAAAATGCTAAAAAGGTAAAACATTAGCATGAAAAAAAAGAAAGAACCGATAAGTTGGCGCATGTTAGCAGGATGGAGATAAACATAGAATTATAGTACATGATAGAAAAGTAGTTAGAAAACAGTAACTTAGTTTTAACTTTATATAATATAATAAAGTGTATCAAAATTACAATTTTTTGCTCGACGTTCTCTTGTTTGCTTTTCCTATCGATAGAGTTGGTTGAGTAGTTGACCTTATATTTGTAGACATTTAAGATTTGCGATGGAGATGAAAGCTCTAGAATTATTTCTTCATGAAGGCGAAGGAAGTTAGAGCCGTAGAGTCGAGAAAGAAACAGTAGTTTCAGATGAAGAAAACTATATTTTCATATTGGAAAGAGAGAATGCATGTTAGCAGGGGCAGACCTAAGGCAAGGGAGGGTGTGTCGTTCAACTTTTGATAGTTTGGAACTTCCGACAACTCTTTAATAATTATAGTCGACACACTTTTATTAGACATGAATAATTTTATTATTTAAATAAATCAATCTTAAATTTTAATTAACAAGAATTCCTTTTTAATTTGTTTAAAATAACTCATAAACCTATCAATTGCTATTAACAAAACTCACAGGCCATACCAATGTACATGTGAAGGGATGACAATTTCGACATGACCCGTTTTACATGACCTGTTTGGACTTTTTTGGGGCGGGTCTGACCGAGGCGGCCATGGGTATCCATCTTCTACCCAACCTGCCCCGACCCGCCACATTGTCAACCCGTTCTTCCCTAAATTACATGTAATCTTAGTCAAATTACTTACGGTTTGCCTTTTATTAGCTAATGTTTTTATCTATAATAAATTTGTAAATAATTGAAAATCTCAATTTCTCACATAATTTAACTACATTTATCATACTATGATTTGTTTCTTGGTATTTTAATAAAAATAACGAATATCTCTAATGATTTTCATATAAATTACATACACATTGGGTCGACCTACCCCTACCCCTACCCGCGCCCCATGATAAATTACCCGACCTGTACCTGACCTACCACAAGGAGCGTATGGGTATCGAGATACCCACCTCGAACCTGCCCCATTGCCTATACATGTGTGCTGGGTCATACCAATGTACATTTCTGCCATTTAAAATAACTAATAATCCTATCAACTGCTATCAAAAGTCGTCGTGATTCGTTGTAAACGTGACAATGTAAACTTTATAAATTAATTTCTATTTAATTTTTTAATTATAATCCAATTTTATAGGCAACACCCCTCTCCAACAATTTTGGATCCGCCACTACATGTCAGATAAGAAGATTGAAAGATAAAATGAGCTAGGATTATTTTGAATATCGTACCATTGGTAGGTTATTAAATGACGACAACACCATTTCGTGTCTTTATCCAATTAGTTTACAACTAAGATTAGTGTGGAACATATTGCTAGAAATGTTGACCATTGAAGATTATGTAGATTATTTATATGCACCAAATAATTAGCTTGCCGGAGGATAAATGATGACGATCTCTAAACCTTGATATGAAATAAAATGAAGAAAATTGCAGAGTCGTTAAATGGATGGAAGTTAGTGCAACGATATTGGTAGTGGTGGGCGGTGGGGAAAATTATCCCGAAAATCTTGGTACACAAGTAGACAGACAGACACTAATATCTTGGTTTGAATTACTTGGCAAAGAAAACGTGAGGAGTATGAACGAACTAAAGAAGAAAAAGGGAATGGAAAAAAATTTGCGGTTCGTAAAAATCTGCAGTTTTTGCGGATCCATTGCAATGAATTCACTCATTTCATAATTTCCTTCCCTTAGCTTATATGTAGGTAAAATTATACATACGAAGATATAATCCTTACTCCTTCTTGCTCCTTTTTGTTGATCCAGAAACACACCGGCAAAGAAACTAGTGAAATTTCCTGCTGCAAATATTTGAAGAGAAAAACACTCAGCGAGAAACAATGTTGTTTGTCTGTTCTTCAAAATCAAAGACTCATTAAGAAAAAAACACTGGAAAAGAAGTATACTTAATCGCTACTTGCCAAAATTATCCATCCAGAGATTCAAATTTAACAAACTAAAAGAAAAGAAGAAATTGTCCGGTGATTTTATTTCCTCCGGCCAAATATTAACTTATCTCCGCCCTTCGTAGAAACATTACTAGAGCTGCCTGCCACCAGCAGAAAAGCAATACTGGGAAATTTTCACAACAAACAGTTTGGGCATTAGGTCTGATTGGTTTCCTAGAGAGAGAAACGGTGAACCTGCTGCCTCCATTGTCTCAGTTACCTTCTTCGTCGTTGTTTGGAAAGCGTACGCTAACTCCGACAATTCTCTATCTAATTCTCTCATCCTCTGACGCAGGTAATTATCTGGAGTATTTTTCCTTGTGTCTACTCCTTAAATTATTTTTACTCTCTGCATGATGCGGTCTGGGAGACTTGGAATCATAATAATTCTTAGGTCAGAAAGCATTGTAATCCCCTTAATTAGTTATAGAAAAATTAGTTGAATTTTTAACCCTCTACATGATAGCTAGATTGACTTGAAACAGGGGGGAATAGAAAATTAAGATCAACATTATAGCGAAAAGATGGAGTTGGAATCGAACAAGGGAAGCAGAAGGATGGGGGATGGAGGAGGAGGGATGACCAAATCGATGAAGAAAGCCCTTCTAATAGTCAACTGCATTCTCCTCTCTCTGGGAAGCGCATGCGGCCCACTGGTCCTCCGCCTATACTTCCTCAAAGGTGGTAAGGGGGTATGGATCTCTGCGGCTCTAGAAACTGCAGGATGGCCTTTCATCCTCTTGGCGCTCCTCACATCCTACCTTTACCGCCGTAGTAGAAATGGGCCCCAGGCCACTAAGATCTCCTTCATTACCTGGCGCCTGTTTCTAGCATCGGCGGTGCTTGGAGTCCTTACAGGCCTCGATGACTACCTCTACGCATCCGGGGTGTCCTACATCCCCGTCTCCACCTCTGCCCTAATCATCGCCTCCCAGCTGGCCTTCACCGCCGTTTTTGCCTTCTTGCTGGTGAGGCAGAAGTTCACCGCCTTCTCCGTCAACTCCATATTCTTATTGTGCTTGGGGGCCGGGGTGCTCGCAACGCACGCCGGCTCTGACAAGCCGCCCAATGTGACCAAGGAGAAATACTTTTTGGGATTCTTCATGACCGTGGGCGCCGCGGTGCTATACGGATTCGTCCTCCCTGCCATTGAGTTCACTTACATGAAGGCCACCCAGTATGTCTCTTACACTCTAGTTATGGAGATGCAAATGGTCATGTTCTTCTTCGCTACGCTCTTCAACGTCGTTGGCATGATCATCCACAATGAGATCCAAGTCTCTCTGCTTCCTATCCTTTTTCCTATTTTAATCTCAATTATTCCTTTCCATCAAAGAATTTTCACCATTAGTTAAACAATAATAATATTGGGATTTTGCAGACAATGCCAAAAGAAGCCAGAGAATTTGAGTTTGGAAAAGTGGGGTATTGCTTAGTGTTGATAGCAACGGCGTTGGTATGGCAGTGCTTCTTCGTGGGAGCTGTCGGGGTTGCGTCAATTGGTTCTTCTTTGCTCTCTGGAGTACTCATCGCGACCTTCTTGCCGGTCACTGAGGTTTTGGCTGTCTTCATCTATCACGAGCCATTTGGTTCAGAGAAAGCTATTGCTCTCATCCTCTCAATTTGGGGTTTCGTCTCTTATTTCTATGGCGAGTACAAGCAGACCAAAAAGTCAACACCTACCTTGGGATGACCCATCATCTTTGTAAAACTTCAATACATTTGTACCATTAGACTTATAGCTAGTAGCTAGGCACCTTCTCCTCTAATATGCTCTCTAGGAAATAAAGGTTATGCGTTGTCAATTCACCGTGAGGTGAACTTTTTGAGTTGATTTATGAGTCTTGGGAAATTTTGAATCACTTCCCCTTTTTCTTTTTTCTCCTGATACAGAAGCAACAAAAATTTCTCTAGCCTGCTCAAAGGCAATCAGTTGTCAGCCCAATCAAACTTTGAAAGTCTTGATAAAATGTATTCATACTTTTGAAGGAAATCAAATGAAACCTTGAATTGTTTATATTGCTTCTAGGAAGACATCGCAGTGGAGCTAACTTCAAAATTATATGTGTTTGAAAGTGGAAAGATGAGAGCTATTAGTCTACCATCTTCTAAGATCCCAATTCAATCTTTAAAAATTAATTGGGTCCGCCTATGGTGCGTTGCAAGTCACCATAACTTGCACAGTTCGGTCGACCTATTTCTAACTGCGATCGACCGAATCCCCTAAGGTGTTCACTGAAATTTTGTACAAATGACCAACAATAGAGACTTGGTCGACCTGAAATATTATTAGGTCGACCTTAAAGACGTAAGTTGCCACTACCAGAACCAATTAGGTCGACCTTTTCTCTTCCTAGGTTGACCTATCTAGCAGAATAATATTAGTTTACCAACAAAAACATGTGTAATACTATCACAAACAATTGATAGGTCGACCAGACACATTGACCGGCCGACCTTTTAAGCACAACATAGTCTTGCAAACAAAGCCAAAGTCGATATTCTGGATAAACAAGCAAAACAAACAGAAACGGTCGACCATGATAAGAATTAGGTCGACCTATTGGGTTTGATCTTCCTTACCTCGCATGTACAGAAGTCCGAGTGTTGTTTCCTAAATTCAATTTCTCGCAATTGTCAAACAAAGGCCGACCTGATTGAAATAAGGGTCGATCGAATGGTCTTCTACATGCAACAAAACATCAAATTAAACAGTGCAAATTACGAATTAGAAAAGATGACAACGATAGCTAAAATAGGTCGACCTCACCTTTCACGTGGTCGGCCTCTTGAAACACGTACAGCAGCAACCATAAATGATCTTCTTCTTCACTAAAGCTCTAACCATACAAAAAAACCAAATTCAGAGTTTCGGTGGCGGTGAAGGTGACATATATTCGTATTTATAGATATTTAGGATGAGATTGGGTTGAAATAAGTGATAGACAAGTTAGGGTTACCTTTCTGGTGTTGGAATCCTTATCCAATACAGATACGGTGTGCACACGGTCGACCTCATACTTGTCAGGTCGACCGTTTATACTATTTCCTAAATATTCCCTACTTTGATGTTGATAAGTTAATGAAACAGAGATCGACCTTTTCACTTACGAGGTCGACCTTTAAATAGCAAAATAGTCGGTCTTTGAGATATTTGGGTCGACCTTTTATATTGTTCGCTTGCCAAAGAGGTCGACCATTTGCTATAAAAAGGTCAACCGCGTCGTCGAGTCTCCCAAAACTGAAAAACAGATTAGGTCGACCGAAAAATGCAAGTTACGGTGACTTCAAGTCACCGTAACAAAGTTGTAAAAATTATTGTAATTTTTTATTTTCACATTCTTACTCAAAAACCTTATTTCCGCACCGTAATAAGACTTCATCATTTATCTAGAAAGCTGGTTCATAATGCATACATTCATTATTTCATAATAAATACTTAGAAATGGATAATTGGAAAATAATCTTCATGATGATGAACAACTTCTTTTGAGATTTTCATTCATGGCCAACTATTTCAATTTTCAGTTGTTTGTTAGGTAATATCAATTCATAACACACAAATGGACATGACTAATAATATTTTCATGATTGTTGGGTGAGAATAAAATAAATTTTCTTACTATGAGTGTTTTGTTTTGATCATAAGTTGTTATATTTCCGGAATAAATTAAGTTAAGTTCGGCTTCCGTTTGCCAGCATTTTTCTTTTCTGAATTTGATGTAGTAAGTTTTATTTTCTAAAGAATTTTGTACATAAAACGTGATTAATTAAATTTTATATAATGATATCAATATTGATATGTTATGGACATATTTTTTTAGTGTGATAGGTTGACATATTCATACAAAGCATTTGAGTTTTGATATGTTTACATGTGAATACACTTGATACATGTTTTAAATACTCTAGATTCTAGACACTTGTTGCGAATACTCTTAAGACGTTATGTTAATGATCACACTGAAGACATATTGTGATTTTCTTAAATGTGTCTCGAATGCACTTACGAATTGCGATATTGTCTAAAGATATGTGTTATTCATAAAAATCTTCAATTACATGTCCAAAATATATCAAGATTTGTATTGCTGGATGCAGAAAAATAATTAATGGTAGTTCCTTTACCAATTTTCTTTATAAAAAAACAAGTTCAACTATTTTGTATTTAGATACCAAGCAAAATTTTCATTTATATTACGTAACTTTGAATATGTCACATATATACTAAGTCGTTTGTTCCATTAGTGGACTCCATATATTACGTAACTTTCAAAAATTTCATTTAGATACAATTAGATACCAAGCAAAATTTTCATTTATACGTAAGTTTCAAAAAAAGTATTTATATTACGAAAATAATTTTTTTTTCGATGAATGGGTGGGATTTTATTCATCAAATACGATCAACAACCAAGTTGCAAACTTACAAAACCTGGTAACTGTTGACAAAACAAGGAAAAAAATCAATACAGTCTTCCCTATCTACTAACCTTGTTCAACTACAAGTCTTGTACCACAGCCTTGAGCAGGAAGTTGATGCTGACACCCTGGAATCACCTGCCTCTTTTGCCTCCATCACACCCTGCATTTCCTTGTGATTTCTATAACCGACAATTGCTTACCACCATAAAGCCTTCTGCAACGTTCTCTCCAGACCTCACTCACAACCAGACACCAAATCATTCTGCCAACCAAGCAGTTTTTGAATTTCTGCATGCTGCTGGGACTGCCTGCTGCAAAGTTCATGAAATTGGAAAAGACCAAGATTCTGGGAATACAACAACCCATACTTCTTTCACATATGCACACAGAAAAAATATATGATCCCTGGACTCAGACTCTTGGCCACAGAGAGGGCAGGTCAGGGGAACCTCTGGAATCCAACGTTTCACCATGTCCAGAGTAACTATTTTATTTAACAACACTAGCCATGTGACTACTGAATTGAAACACCCTAACCCGGCCGGGTACTACTTTTACTAAAATGCCCTTGATAAATAAAATACTCAAACCTTAAATTTCAGCGGGAAAAATTTTCATAAATAAAATACTGAAAACACACACTTGTAGTTCAAAGCAAAGCCCTAACACGTGGGCAAATTAAACTCAAACTTTAAAATCTCAACCTGATCTCAAAATAATCTCCAGTCTGTACTCATAATCATAAAATATAATAACTAACTAGTCTCCAGTGTTGCTGCTTGTGCGAAAAACTCTGACTAGACATCCTCTGTGCCGCTCGTACCGTCCTCCTCTAGCTAGCTTCACTCGAACTCGCTGCTCTCTAACTCCTCTTAGTCCTCTTTAAACTGGTGAGTGAGATGGGGTCAGTCTACGCCCTTACGTTTTAATAATTCTAATACTTGAGTACTTTACTTAAACACCTAACTTGACTAGTGGAAGTTGTTTGTACTTCCGATCTTAAAATCTTAACTCTTAAACTTTGAGGGAGTTGAAGTTACTCTCCTCTCTTAAACTCAAATCTCGACTTAAATACTTGACTGACGCTGGGATCCCTTACTAGCTAGTCCGGTTGCCAACTCATACGTATGAGAAGCCATCCAGGCTTTCCTTAAACTTAAACTTAGTTAGGGAAGTCGTAACGATTCATCCCCCTAACATCTTAAACTTATCGTGGTGGCTCTTCACCACGATTCTCAAGGGCATACTGCTGCCCATCTTAAAAATCTCAAGAGCATAACTGCTGCTCTATCTCAAACTGTCTCAAAAGGCAACGGACTGGCGCTAGTGACTAAAAACACTTAAAACGACTTCACCTTCTGGAAGGTGAGTTACTTCTTAAAAAGACCTTGTTTCTTACTCTTTTATAATAACTTATACTCGTAAAAATTTCAAGTAATTAATAAACATTCACTTCAAGCACAGCTCAAATCACCTCAAACCGTAACTCAAGCAAAGCACAACTGATCAATCATACACATAACCAAGCAACGATAACCAATTCGCTGAAATACTTAAAATCATAAAACATAAAAGAATACGTAAGGCGTAGAATTTACCCCCTTTACACTCACCTCTCATTCTCACCATCAACTGACTTGACCTTGCCCTTCAATTTATGCAGTCGATGTCCTGATTTGCACATCTCATCCTCTTGCTACTGCACGTAGTCTTCACCCTACCTTATGCATCATGAATCCATTCCATGCACTAACCTTCCACCTAAGCAATGATCCAGGACACACACACGCCCCACAAAAGGTAAATCCTTCTTGACCCATCTTTCCAATTGACTCTTCCTCCGCATCCCAACCATAATCAAATAGGAGAATCATTACCTTTGATTTTGTCGATCCCCATCTCCCCGCAAATCCAGCCTTCTCCAATCCATAACCGCCGGTCTATGTTTCTCGATTGATCGCCATCCCCTTGTGTGCGGTTGATGTCCTTCCGCAACTCTGGTCCGCTTAAAAACAAATAATGCCACCGCCAGCAAGCCGCCTCCTTTGTGCCTCTCGATTGATTCGGTGCCGGCTGTTGCTTTTGCAACCGAAGGAGATGGGGGAGAAGGGTTAAATGGGGAAGGGTTTATTTGGTGGGTTAATTAGAGAGAGGTGGGTTGGATGGGTGTAACGGGTGAGATGATGATGACTATGATTATGATAACAATGATAATAATAAGGATAATAATAATTGTAGTTATTAATGTTATTATTATCTCCAAATTATGGTTGTAACCCTTTGTATGTAACCGTCGATCCAACCGTTCATTTACTATGGTCGAACCTGAACCAAAAAGTCGGGGTGTAACATTTCCTCCACCCTTATAAAAATTTCGTCCCCGAAATTTGCTTGAATCTCATTCCTCTGTCAACACCATTCCTGTACTTCCTTGCTCCAAAAATTTACTCTCTATATGAACCTTGATGATGTCCCTTGCTTGTCCCGTATAGTTTACCTCACCTCAAGTTATTTCCACTTGACCATAAAAGGTATTCTCAACAAGCTCATTAGCATCGAGTAAATTTGAGTGGCTACTTGCCCTTTTCAAAATT